TGGGAGAGAAGGGCTTGTGTCTTAATTAACTTGGAGCATGAGATCCACAAAACAGAAGCAGTGTTGGACCGTCTGCGAAGGCCGTTGTCATCCGGAGCTGAGAGCCGTGAGTATGCCGGCCTCTGAAATGTGAGACGCAGCGGCGTCCCATGGTCGCCCCGGTAGGTATGCCATTCCCCACAACCTGATCAGCACGAACACCGAGATCACACCCAGACGTGAACTTCACGAGGGTCCCAGGGCTGCTGTGAAAAGCCTGGTCGCTACCTCACCCGGCCTGGCCTTTGCTATGGCTCTGCCTTTGCCAGCCGTGCCAACCTCACTGTCCCGCTTTCTGCCGCCTCCAATGCATGCCAGCTTCCCGCTCCGGTCACTCCCCCGTGCAGCCTCTGCAGTGGGCACTCTCCCCTGGCCCGCACTCAGCCGTGCTCATCACTCCACTGTCCTCTGAGTCTCAGCTCCAGCATCCCTGTGTGGGGAAGCTGCCGGCCCTGCTCCACGTGCGATTCACTGGCTGTGTGCCCTCCTGCCCACGGGCTCTCCCGGGAGCACGGCCACGGCCAATACCAGCAATGGTGGCGGCAGCTTACACTCAGAGCACACGCAGGTGTCATGAACCTGGTCAATGTGTGTTGCTCGTATTCACTCGCTGTACCCTTGCATAGCATTTCGAGGGAAGGACTGTTGTTTCACCTGCTCTCATGGATTAGGAGCTGGGGCTGAGAGTGAAGTGCCCAGGTCACAGACAGAGCAGGTAGGAGAGCTGGGATTCGAGCCCACCTAGGCTGGCTCTCGAGCTCTCATTGCATACGACCTCGTGTATTTCTTTGTGTGATCTGCCTCTTACACCAGAGCCAAAGGACCACAGGACACGTTGCTCATTACCGGCAGGTATTAGAGTAGTCGCTCCATAAACGCTGGTGCATGAATACATGAACAGTCGAAGACATGGCTGTTCTCACACCACCGGCCAGAAAGAGCCGCTTGCTGGGCTTCGGTCGCCATCCTCAGGTGATTTGATACCGAGGGGTGCTCGCTGGCTGGTACCGTACATGGGACTGTCAGACGCTGGCTCCTTCTTGACTTGTCTCTTGGGAATCAGAACGGATACTTGGGTGGAACTGTGATTTGAATAAATGAAGAGGTTTGTCTTCAGAAATAAAGCTGTATTTCCCCCTGCGTCTGAGACGTTTGAGAACCATCTCAGCAAGACCCCGCTGAGCTTGTGGGCTGGGTTCCACGGACAACTTGGAAAGAAGGAATATTCTGCTCCACTTGAAAGTGCTGTTGACCCCAGCGTGTAGCTCTATTTCTGTTCCTGTGTTCCCTCCAGATACCCTCAGAGCAGCTTTGCAAATAAAAGAGCCCAGGGTGGCAGAAAATAAAGCAAACAACCAAATTCTTTCTAATGAAGGCTGAAATCCCATGTCTGAACAGTTAGTCCCTAAATGGAATTTTAATTTCACCTTAAGACCTAGGACAAATGGAATTTCCAGCAGCAGAATAAACAATCTTTAAAGTGGGATTGAGCCAACACGAAGTCATTTACCAAACTCCTCAGGGAATTAAAACACCTTCTAAAACTATGTTCACTGGAAAGCCACCTTCCCAGAGGCTACAGCCCTTTCTGAAAGCAGAGTGCTAAGTGCCGGTGAGCCACAGCTCTCCCGCAGCCGGAGCGCCCCGGGCCCCTGGCTCTCCCTGACTCTCTGCGAAGGTGAACTGCCAGCCGCGCCGGGTGAGCCAAGCTTCTCTCTGGTGCTTCCTCCTGTAAAAACGTGGTGCTCAGCATTCCAAGGTGCTAATTAGCTCTGTAATTGGATTTCTGCCTTAGCTGTCCGGGTGCATGAACATCAATTCCACGGCTCAAAGAGAAAGTGGGGGCTTCTGTCCCGCTGCCCATCTCAGAGGGAGCACGCGGTGCTGCTCTGAGTCCTGCGCTGGCACGCATGCCATCCTGAGAGCTCGCCTGACAGGCGGCTCAGCCTGCTGGGCTCGGGCTGCGGGCAAGTGTCACAATGGGCTCCCCAGAGAGGTGGAGACACTGCAAAGCACCCTCCCCATGCTAATGCAGACGAGAGCTGGCCTCCGCCCTTCAACGGGCCTTCTGCCCCATGTCCTCCCCAGGCCACGCCCCTCTTCTCCCATGCGCTTTTGGACAGCAACTGGGGTGAGGCAACAGCCACTTCCCTTAAGTGGAGCTTGGGGCGCCTTCCATCAGCATCTGTGGACAATGGGGCACGTATTCCATTTCTGATGCGGCCACAGGGATGGCGGAGTGAAGCTCAGTGGGTGTCTGCTCAGATCACGAGCCCAAGGCAGAGTTAAGAGTGGACAGTCGTGCTACTTGTGGGCAGGGCAACATGGGCAGCGAGAAGGCAGCGAGAACCCGGAGTCCCAGGACCCGTCTCCTTCAGACTGCACAGTCAGGTCTCTGACCTCATGGCAGCTCAACACACACGTCAACTTCGCAGTGGTGACAGTGGTCTGGGTGGGACCTGTGCCGTGAGTGTCCACACGACCGCTCCGGTTTTCACTCTTGGTGCCGCGCTCAGCAAATTCCATGAAACATGCAGCACGTTCGGTAAAGCAGGCTGATCGATGCCGTTGCCAGCAAGGCTCAGTGTCGGCGTGCGAGCTCGTTAGGGTGGGCGAGGTGGAGCTGTGACGTCTGGTAATCAGGTGTGCTAAATGCACTTTTATTTTTAACATTCGACGGGTTATCGGGACGTGACCCGTGGTTAGGCCGAGGAGCATCTGAAACACGCACAGCACGGCTGGGTCCCCTTTCTCCTCTCACTTTTGCTGCCCCTGACAACCACGTGAGTTCTCACGTCAGCTGTGCTCTGCCAGCTGCTAGGTCACCCTGAGCTTGGAATGACTCGGCACGGGGGACGTTTCCTGAGACATGCTAGTGTGCGGGCTGCCAGGGGCCCTGCGAGGGCGGCCGGCCTGGGTTCTGGCTCTCCCTGCTCTGCCCTCCAGACCACAGAGGGGGTCCGGCTGGTTCCTGCAGGTTGGCAGCTGCTCTTGGGCTGAAAACGGCAAGGAGTCAGGGGTGCATGCCTTCTCCCGGATTTTGATCTGAATTCTTCAGCAACTTGAAGGCTTTGAGAAAAGAACAACTTGGAGTTGTTGATTTTTAGTTGCCCTCACTGACATCATCCCACGTAATGACCGGAAATGGAGCTACTACGGTGGTCTGTAGGAATCACGGGCAGGCGGGTTCTTTATAACTGCCTAGTATGTAATCAACGCCTCTCAATATTCCATTTTACCTGAAGAGGTCTGTCCCGTTTTCTGTGTGCAGTGTGCTCGTGTGTACATACCTGTGTGTGCATGCGTGTGCATTCCCTAACATACATTAGAGCTGCCTTGCTCACTGCACCAAGAAAAGGGAATTCCCTCTCCTCCCACTACTGTTTCTATTTTTATACAAAATTAAAAAAAAAAAAAATGCCATAGGAAGTGTATGCTTGCCAGAGAAAGAGACGGTAGAAATCACCTCCCAGCAGCACCACCACAGGGGATGACCCACCACCACAGGGGATGCCCCACCACAGGGGATGACGCCCCACCACAGGGGATGACGCCCCACCACAGGGGATGACGCCCCACCACAGGGGATGACGCCCCACCACAGGGGATGACGCCCCACCACAGGGGATGACGCCCCACCACAGGGGATGACGCCCCACCACAGGGGATGACGCCCCACCACAGGGGATGACGCCCCACCACAGGGGATGACGCCCCACCACAGGGGATGACGCCCCACCACAGGGGATGACGCCCCACCACAGGGGATGACGCCCCACCACAGGGGATGACGCCCCACCACAGGGGATGACGCCCCACCACAGGGGATGACGCCCCACCACAGGGGATGACGCCCCACCACAGGGGATGACGCCCCACCACAGGGGATGACGCCCCACCACAGGGGATGACGCCCCACCACAGGGGATGACGCCCCACCACAGGGGATGACGCCCCACCACAGGGGATGACGCCCCACCACAGGGGATGACGCCCCACCACAGGGGATGACGCCCCACCACAGGGGATGACGCCCCACCACAGGGGATGACGCCCCACCACAGGGGATGACGCCCCACCACAGGGGATGACGCCCCACCACAGGGGATGACGCCCCACCACAGGGGATGACGCCCCACCACAGGGGATGACGCCCCACCACAGGGGATGACGCCCCACCACAGGGGATGACGCCCCACCACAGGGGATGACGCCCCACCACAGGGGATGACGCCCCACCACAGGGGATGACGCCCCACCACAGGGGATGACGCCCCACCACAGGGGATGACGCCCCACCACAGGGGATGACGCCCCACCACAGGGGATGACGCCCCACCACAGGGGATGACGCCCCACCACAGGGGATGACGCCCCACCACAGGGGATGACGCCCCACCACAGGGGATGACGCCCCACCACAGGGGATGACGCCCCACCACAGGGGATGACGCCCCACCACAGGGGATGACGCCCCACCACAGGGGATGACGCCCCACCACAGGGGATGACGCCCCACCACAGGGGATGACGCCCCACCACAGGGGATGACGCCCCACCACAGGGGATGACGCCCCACCACAGGGGATGACGCCCCACCACAGGGGATGACGCCCCACCACAGGGGATGACGCCCCACCACAGGGGATGACGCCCCACCACAGGGGATGACGCCCCACCACAGGGGATGACGCCCCACCACAGGGGATGACGCCCCACCACAGGGGATGACGCCCC